CCGTGGGCTTGTTGAGAAGGAACATGTGTAATGTGTAATCCTAGATGTATTTGTTGGGGCAAAGATGGAGGAGGAGAAGGAGGAGGAGGAGGAGGAGGAGGAGGAGGAGGAGGAAGAAGATGGAGGAGGAAGAAGATGGAGGAGGAATAATGGAAAGGAAGGAGGAAGAAGAGGAAGGTGGAGAGAAGAAGAAGAAGAAGAAGAAGAAGAAGAAGAAGAAGAGGAAGAGGAAGAGGAAGAGGAAGAGGAAGAGGAAGAGGAAGAGGAAGAGGAGGAGGAGGAGGAGGAGGAAGATGGAGGAAGATGGAGAAAGATGGAGGAGGAATAATGGAAAGGGAGGAGGAAGAAGAAGAGGATGGAGATGGGGAGAAGAAGAAGAAAAAGAAGAAGAAGAGGAGGAGGAGGAAGATGGAGGAGGAATAATGGAAAGGGAGGAGGAAGAAGAGGAGGATGGAGATGGGGAGAAGAAGAAGAAGAAGACGAAGAAGAAGAAGAAGAAGAAGAAGAAGAAGAAGAAGAAGAAGAAGAAGAAGAAGAAGAAGAAGAAGAAGAAGAAGAAGAAGAAGAAGAAGAAGAAGAAGAAGAAGAAGAAGAAGAAGAAGAAGAAGAAGTACATCTCATTATCTAGAGATAACAAGAGTCACATCACAGGGGAAAACAGGAGGAGAGAATCCTATCTATGCCATCTTGATTTCCCAAAGAAGAGGCAAGATCTAAAGCCAATAAATAAACGAATAAATAAATAAATAATACAGCAAATGAAGAATACAGTAATATGCAATTTTTCATGTTTGTTGTTGAGTTTGCTTGAAATGGTAAGGCTGGGTGTGTTGTGCAGAAATTAAATTTAAGTGTTCTGGGAGGAAAGGAGATTTTTGTCAAGTCGTTGTCTTGATAAGTCGAGATCAAAGAAAGGGCGAACAAAAGAACAATTCTGTTCTTTGGGGGGGGGGAATGGGGTTACCCTGTCTCTTTTCCCTGTCCAGATAAATCAGGCTGTGGGGTGGGTAGGGAGATGATCGGAAATTAACAAGACTCTTTTAGAAATGCCTTAGATCAGGGGTCTTCAAACTTGGCCCTTTTATGACTTGTGGACTTCAACTCCCAGAATTCCTCAGCCAGGCACACACTGGCTGAGGAATTCTGGGAGTTGAAGTCCACAAGTCATGAAGGGGCCATAGTTCCCCCATGCTGGCTGAAGAATTCTGGGAGTTGAAGTCCACAAGTCATGAAGGGGCCAAGTTTGAAGACCCCTCCCTTGGAGTAAATCTTGAGGAATTACAAAACATGCAGAAGTTGACTTCACACCGCAACAACAGCACAGACGGAAACCTATAAATGAACCCTTGAGCTGCGAGTTGGTTAACAAAAATTCTCTTTTGCATCAAAAAAAACCAAAAACAAACCAGCAACAGATTTAAAATCAGACTTGGGAGGACTCGGCAACCACTTCCAACAAGTAATAACTGAAAGCAAAACACACCCTTTTAGGTTTCACACAGCGCCACACAACAGATTTAACACACATTCCTAACCTCTCCCCTGCAATACAGGTAGTCCTCAGCTTACGACCACAATTGAGCCCGACATTTTTGTTGCTAAGTGAAAAACATCTGTTCAGTGAGTTGTGTCCCATTTTACAACTTTTCATGCCACCGTCGTTAAGTGAATCACTGCAGTTGTTAAGTTAGACATATGGTTGTTAAGTGAATTCAGCTTCCCCATGGACTTTGCTTGCCAGGTCACAGAAGGGGATCACGTGACCCCGGGCCGCTGCGACCGTCGTAAATACGAGTCAGTGGCCAAGTGTCTGAATTTTGATCACATGACCGCAGGGATGCTGCCACGGTTGTAAGTGTGAAAACGGTCCTAAGTCGCTTTTTTCAGTGCCGTTGTAACTTTGAACGGTCACTAAACGGACTGTCGTAAATCGAGGACTCCCTGTATGTATGTAGTTTTTAACCCAGCCTTGATTTTCCTGCGGGGATTAAGCAAGCGCCACTCCAAGAGGGAAATGCATTTATGCCCTCAACATATTTTATTCCAAAGCGTTTTACTCCCTTTAATTTACCTTACGCGCTATTGTACGTTTTCCAAGTCAGCATCAATATTTAAATAGGGCACCCTTTTTTTGGCTTTGCGTCTCACCACATCGCAGAGCTGTGTAGTTTCACAGAATAATCAAAACAGAACAGCCATAGTTTGAAGATCACTAGCAAAGAAAGCTCTCTCTTTCTCTCTCTCGCTCTCTTTTTGTTCCCCCCCTAAACGAATGGAGGTCCTGATCGTATCAACGCCCAACTGCTGTTTGTAAGAAGAGACAAACATGCGGAAATACTCGCAAAGGTAAAATAAAAACACAGACCGTTTTTATTTGAGGGAGGGGTGGGCTCGTGGCTGGCTGGCTTTATTATAGAGATTTGCAAGAGGCATTGAAGGTAGATGAGGCTAAGGAAAAGAAGGTTTTGTGGGAGATTTCCCAATTCCCTGAACTGAAACAGCCGCTGCTGGGTTTTTCCCTCAGGGACAAATAAATCTTCCGTAAAGCAAACCGTCACACAAAAGCTCTTCGGGATGAAAATTCTACTTCCAGAGTGTGTGTGTTTGGGCACGGGGCCAATAGCAAATGCAGGTAGTCCTCGACTTACGGCTGCGAATTGAGCCCAACGTTTTTGTTGTTAAGTGAGACGTTTGTCGAGTTTTTGCCCCGTTTTACGACCTTGCACTGCAGTTGTTAAGTTAGGAACACGGTTGTTAAGGGAATCCATTATGACTTTGCTTGTCAGAAGGTCACAAAAGGGGATTGCGTGACCTCCCCGGGATGCTGTGACTGTCACAAATACGAGTCGGTTGCCAAGCATCTGAATGCTGATCACGGGACCGTGGGGATGCTGCAACGGTCACAAAGGTGTAAAACGGACGTAGGTCACATTTTTCAGCACTTACGACCGTCCCAGCATCCCCAGGGTCACGTGATCGCAATCTGGGTGCTTGGCAACTGGCTGACATTTATCACCGTTGCAGCATCCCAGGTTTAGGTGATCCCAGCTGGCTTCCAACAAGCAAAGTCAATGGAGGAAGCTGGATTCATTTAACGACTGCACGATTCATTTAACAACTGTTGTGATTCGCTTAACAACCATGTCAGGAAAGGTTGTAAAATCAAGCAGGACCCTCTTGACGACTGCCTTGTTTAGCACTGGAAATTCAAGTTTCTGGCCATAAGTCAAGGGCTACCTGTAGGAAGGGGGGCTTATTCCCAATTTCAACCACTTGCAGAAAAAAAATCTACCTGCAATCAGAAGGGGTTCAAATCCCTGACAATGTAACTGAGTACATAAAAGTAGTAAGATGATAATTTGTGTAACAATACGTTTGTTTTAGATATGATCATACCCACCTTAATATTTGGTAAACAGCGTGTTGTCTGGGTTTATATTTAAAAAAACAATCGATAACAATTAAGTTTCTAGAATTCTATAGTCCACCTAACAGCTTTGCTTGATTTTCTCTTCTTCCAATAATATTCTCTTTTGCCAACCTTGAATTAATACAATTCTTATTATGTGGGTAAGTGACAATTAAATACGGACATTTTTCTCACGTTTCTGCAAATAACAACCCCGTCGATATGAAGCTTCTTTTCTTAACTGATCATCTCGATTGCCTCGTTATAGATCCTGTTTACAAAATGCTTCTTTGAATTTGTTTTCTCCGACGTATTCAAAACATGCTTACTGGTTTTAAGGTTTTCTCAAAATTAATGACACTTAAGCATTTCAGTCTTTTCCCTCACGCAGGCCCTCCCGACATTTTTACATTTCTCATAGTTTTAAAAAAAAAAACATTGTTTAAGGATAAGTCATTGTTTTTAATGGCCAGAGAGGAAAATCTCATATTCAGCCATGGATTTCAGAGAGACGGCAGCTTCTGTGTTTCCAAAGTGATTTGCCTGTGGGCCGTTTCTTTAAATTAACGCAGCGGCGGAAATCACCCGAAGAGGGTTTTAAGGAACATGGCAGGTATTAGAAAGAGAGATTTCACGGTACGACTTTGCAAGAAAAGTTGAACGGGAAGAGCGGAGCAATGCTCTCCCGTGCCCTCTGCTGCTAGGCGAGCAGAGGAATGGCCTTCCCAAGCTGATTAGATACCCATTAGTCATCTATGCAAATCTAGACAGCATACTAAAAAGCAGAGACATCACCCTGCCAACAAAAGTACCTATAGTCAAGGCCATGGTTTTCCCAGTTGCAATGTATGGCTGGGAAAGTTGGACCATGAGAAAGGCTGAGCGACAAAGAATGGAGGCCTTTGAACTCTGGTGCTGGAGAAGACTCCTGCGAGTCCCCTGGACTGCAAGGCGATCAAACCGGTCAGTCCTAGAGGAGATCCACCCCGACTGCTCTTTAAAAGGCCAGATCCTGAAGTTGAAAGTCAAATAATTTGGCCACCTAATGAGAAGGAAGGACTCACTGGAGAAGGGCTTGATGCTGGGAAAGATTGAGGGCAATAGAAGAAGGGGACGACAGAGCAGGGGGTTGGACTAGAAGACCTCCAAGGCCCCTTCCACCTCTGCTATTCTGTTAGAAACACAAGGATGGCTAGAAAACCAGGGAGATAAATTCCGGCATGAGACCCAAGTCTCCAGGAGTACCGTGACTTCCAAAGGAAGAGATGGACCAGGGCCTGTCTCAACAGATGGAAGGGACCGTGGAGGTCTTCTCGTCCAACCCCCTGGCCAAGGTAGAAGGTCGTGTCGCAATCCTTTCTTGAAGACCTCCAACGGTGAAGGGACCTTCAGGTTCACGCTCCATCATTGGAGGCCTTCAAGAAATGATTGGGCAGCCCTTTGACCGGAATGCAACAAGATCTTCTACCTTGGCCAGGGGGGTGGACGAGAAGACCTCCACGGTCCCTACCAGCCCTGGCATTCTAGATCAGCAGAGCAGAACATCCACAAGGCTTCCTACAGGGAGAAGGAAGATCAACCTCTGGCTTACCTTAAGATACAGAAGCAGGTCTTGGCCCCCGAGGACAAGCGGCAGAAGCCGAACCTCTGTTTGCTGTCGATATCCGTGAGGACAAAAGTGAAGTTCTGTCCCACCTGCCCCACCGTGAGGCTGGACATGAAAAGAAGGAAGGGGGTCAGTTAGTAGCCTGTCGCCTTCCGCCTTGCAAAGTCTCTCAGTCAGGGGTGTCCAGCCGTGACAACTTGTGGACTTCAACTCCCAGAATTCCATTCCATTCCATTCTTGGTCCTCTCCTCCCCTCCCATTCCCTTCTCTCTCCTTCCCTTCT